CTTAGTCTATTTTAAACTTGTTTGTTGTCAACTTCACCTCAACACATTCACCGAAGCCTGTAAAAGTACCCTGACTTTTCCACAGAGCAACACACAGAATGATTGAAACTGTGTCCAGCTCTCGTCTCTGCTCTCGGCCCACACAAGCTTCAAATGGCAGTCTCACCTGTGCTATCTGCGCCACACTGACCTTCTCCTCCTGATATCAGATGCTTTGGCTTTTATCTACTACACAAATGTCACACACGCCACTCCCCACAGCAATCGTTTGGGCTCCGGCTCCCTCCTTAGCGGCCCACAATTCCCCTGTCTGCCTTTGTATTTCATTCATTCTCCACTTGTACGACATTGAAATGAAGAACTAAGCTCTTTTTCCAAACAGAAAGACTGTTGATTTGTCTTAATAGAAAACATGTTGTCTTTTGTGCAAGAAAGATCCCTTTGAGTCACTATTTGACACCTTGGTCTGAGAGCTGATTGGCTGAGTCAGGGTGGCCCTCCCTTATTCACTTTTCTATCTGAAATGGTTGATCTGAAGACGTGGCAGAGTCAAAAATAGAGGAAGATGTGGAATTAAAAGATAGAATTGTACCACAAGTCCAAAAAAAACAGCAACATTTCCTGCTGTCATCTCACGTTTTTCAAAATGCCTCATACTGGCAAGGACACAGCTGCTTTCTCCAAAATTGCATGCCTTCACTTCTGTTTGTTCATAATCAAGTAGATTTCTAATTTTAACTTCCATCACTTGATTTTTGCTCTCATCTCTTACTCAATATCCATATATTTTTGAATCTATAGATTATTTCACATTATACAAGAAATGCCCGTTTTTGCTTCAACAAAAAAGCAGATTTAAGTTTCTGTCTGGTGTGATTCATCTTATCATTGTAACTGTAACTGCTTAGTGGTGGGATAAACAGCTGGTCATCCCTGTCTGTCTTTCCCTCTTTCTGTGGATCACTCTTTTTGGCTTTCTCGACATCTGCAATACTGCGCCTGCCACTCAAGCTCGGATCCGGGCAGAGAACCCACACACAGTAGAGTGTGTGTGTGTGTGTGTGTGTGTGTGTGTGTGTGTGTGTGTGTGTGTGTGTGCATGTGTGTGTGTGCTTGCGTGCAACAGCGGAGAGATAGACTGGAACTGACTTGGGGCACAAACTTAATTTTGTCGCAGAGATTTATACTATATTTAAAGCACTCTAAGAAGCATTTATTTTTCACCATCTCCCTCGCCTGTGAGAGCCAGAGAGCCAAAATAACACCAGGAGAAATGTTACTGTTCCTGGCCAGTGCTAGCCGAGGCATACATATGAAGAAATACATGATTTAGTGCTGCTCGTCACTTGAAATCTGCTTGAAATTTTAAAGACCTGCAAGCACATATTGTTTTACTTATTATGTAGAAGCTGTTGGATGACAATACAAGTAAAATTACAGCTAAATAGACAACAACACAGCTTTTCATTTTATTTTTGAGATCTATTTAGAGGCAAGAATCATATTTAAGAGCTCTCTGTTTGGCTCAAACTGTAAGAACCATGCTTTCTGCTCAACATTAAAGCTAGGGTACATAACTTTCAAATCACAACAATAGAATTATGCGGTAAAATCCATGTAACTATTCCCTCATTCTCAGTTTGGTTCTATCACTATAGTTTGCACATGTATGTGTTTTTGGACTTTGTCATAGATAGATGGAAACTTTATTGATCCCCGTTGGATAAATGCAGGTGTCCAGTAGCAGTAAAAACACATTCATCCACACAACAAAAACAAAAAAATGTATCATCCACCATGCAAATACAAGTCCAGGGCCTACCTTTCAGGGCTCATACAAGTGCACCACAATGTGTCAACCAATCTGATATTACCAGGTGATCCCATATAGGCTTAAACATATAGTTATGTCACTCTCTTCGGATATATAAGACAGCTTTAAAGCCTCTCATCCACTCCTATTATCACTGTAAAAACTCATTTGATATGCACAGCAGGGCGCCTGCATATACATTACCGCCGGAGGGGGGAGAGTGGGCGAGCGAATCAGGTCAAGACGGTGGTGAGAGAGCGCGAATACAATGGCGACAAATTGTTTACGCTTGTTTTGGAGTCAGGTCGCTGGCATAGGGAGCGCTGGGTGTGAATGTGGAAACTACCCCTGGGCACGAACTGAAAAAAGACGTTTGAACTTTGCAATCGTCACGGAGGGATAGCGAAGAAAAGCTATGTGTGAATTAGTATCTGTAGTTAACCCAGTTTGATGATGTCCTCTATAATGACCTTTCAGATGTCTTCAGGCTTTTACATTGTATGTGGAAATCAAGCATCAAATTACAACTGAATGTATGAATGTTAATAAGGCTGCAGAGCTCATAATATATTGAGTTGTGGGTGAACTAAGACTCTGCCTTGAGGAGAAAACAACATACCGTAAGTGCATCAGCTGTTTGACCCATTGAGTTTATTACATTTATCTCAAATTTCCCTTCCAACACAAATAGTATATTTATGGATCAACAGTACATCATGGTCAGAAGCTAGGCATTGTTAAAATATTGTCCAAATCAATACACATTTAACAAATATATCTTCTATTGTGGACTGGCTGTGCTGAGGTGCTACAGGACCAGGGTACAAGTGTTTTGTGAAGTCACATCTCCATTAGATATAGTTTAATTTTCTCCACGCTTCAAAAGGGATAATTCTACGAGTCTAACCAACACTCCTAGACCAATCAGATTAGATGTAATTATTCAAGTCACCCATCCAATCACTTAATATATATTATAAAGACATTCAAAGATGGGGGATATACAATTGTGTTCTTGTTTTCTAGTGGAATGTCTCCTATGCTTTAGGCCTGTGCTTTGCCAAGAATGTGTGTATTTTTGAAGTTTGCGCAAGAAATAATGAGAACCACTAAACATTGGAAACTAATTTATGATGCATATACTAATCTAAACTCAAACCACTAAAATTGCACCAGTGCACTATTTCAGATTCAGTTTGATTTAGGCACACGTAGACACTTGTAATGTAATGTATGCATGGCTCCTTAGCTGTGACTTCCTTACCGTTGTTATACAGTTATAAAGCGCCTTTATAAAGCGCTCAAAAACGCTTCACATGACATTACTCTTTCACTCCATACACTGCGGCCATAAGAGATTAGTGTAGCCGCACACCAGACTCATTCTAGGCAAGGTGGGTAAAGTGTTGCCTAAGGACACAACAATAATAATAATGCATTGGTTTTATAAAGCGCTTTTTTGGACACTCAAAGACGCTTTAGATATCAATATTCTTTCCATCCATACACTGTGGTGATAAAGTACTACTGTAGCCACACTGACAGAAGCAAGGCAACCAGTATGTGCCATTGGTTCCTCCGACCACCACCAACCATTCACACACACACCAGATTCATTCTAGGCAATGGGGGTGAGGTAACTTGCCTATGGACACAACCGCAGTTGTGCACTTTACAGCCGCAGTCACCCAACTGTGGCACCAGGTGTTCCCAGAGGTTAAGTGTCTTGCCAAGGACACAACGACAGCAGAGTGGGAGCCAGTGGAGAAAGACTTGTGGTGGGCTCGAACCCACAACATTCAGGCTCAAAGGCCAATGCTCTACCAACTGAGCTACTGTCGCCTCAACACAATGGTTTGTAACTTTACACTGGTGTCACCAAACTACTTTGTCTCCCATCAAAGTAGTAACCGGTGCCCTGTCCTGCTTAACTTCAGAACTCTGACAGGATCTAGCGTTCACATGCAGGTAGCGCCAATATGTCACACATATCACATCCTTGTTCTTTATTCTCAAGAAAGTTTGGTTCTATCACAAGTTTCTCTGTCATCTTTAAATCAATGACAAAGAGAGCACCATCCCTCTCTCAGCCAATCAGTGCCCAGTATGTAAAATATAAAATGTTTCTAATAAGATAAAGACAACTGTTGTGGTCTGATCGTTAACAACATTTTACTGAAACTTTATTTATTTAAGAAGCAAAACAAGAAGATTTGTTTTTTTTTCACATTTCATTCAACGTCATGTTTACACAGCAAGCCCTACAGCAGATGTAGAAGTTTAATTCCAGCCGCCGCGCTCCCAAAAGAACCGCTCGTGTCTGGTTTCTGTCTCAGAGGCTCCAGCCGACAGCCGCCTGAACCGGGTCACGCTGGGCCCACGTCTGGCTGCGGGACACCGGGCTCGTTCATCACCGGGACCGGGGGCTGCGAAGAAACTGACACTTGAGTTATGAGCGGGACGCGCTGGTCGCTGTGGTGATACTCTTCCCTCCTCTCCACGACCTTCGCGGCCTCTGTCGTAAATACAGCACAGCCATAAAAGTGTGATTTAGGAGGAGTGGGCCCGCCTCATCCCAGCACGCAGGGTTCAGACCGGGTGCTCCGCCAGCGCTGGACTACTTTTCTCAACTTCCTCAAATCAAGGGCACATTTCGACTTTGACTGGGCGCTAATATGCCCCTATTAACATCACTTTATGAAATTATTTATTGCTCTCAGTTATTGGCATGAGTTATTTTCCGATGGGAACATGCTGACGGTGGCTGAATATCAATCAAAGGGCATTTTTGACACTTGAGAATTATGGCGAAGTTTATAATGTTTAAAGTAGCAGTATGTAATATTTGCATGTCAAGTCATCCTTAAATGGCCCCCATATT